CAAGTGCCCGTGCTCAGCTGCTAGAAGCAAAGCCGTTGCCCCATCTTGGCTTGTTGCATCTTTGTCAGCCCCAGCTTCTAGCAACAAGTGCACCACTTCCAAGTGCCCATTTCGAGACGCAATGTGAATTGGTGCATCATTGGCATTTGCACTTGCGCCCCTGCAATTGGGATCCTGTGGTTTTCGAAGCAGCTGCTCTATTTTGTGGACATCATTCTTTTCACAACCGCAAAGCAACTCCTCCTCTCCGGTCTCGTCAGGAGGACAAAAGTCGAGGATCACCAATTGCACAAGTGGCAATGGCCTCAGACACATGTCATCCTGAAGCTCGCCTATATCTTGGCTGAAGAGTCTTAGCCGAAACCTTGAATATCCCATCTGATCTGCAAGGAACCGCTTCAGGTCCCCAACCAAACTTCCTTGCTTCAACATGGAATTGAGCTCATCTTCAGCAAGCTTGCAGACTGTGGTGCCAGAGACAGCTACAATCTCCATACTGGTGTCTGCTCGGCAAAATGTGTCTGAAGATGTTTTGCCAAAAGGTGAATGTCCAAGGAACGGGAGAAGAACACTCTGCCACTGCCATAAACATACCTTTCAGGCACCAACCGCACATTATTCAATGACCAACTTTCCATTGTGAAGGGCCCCAAATGGTTGGTTCTGGCCAATGACGAGTTCAATAGGGTGTTTTGATTTGATAAGGGGCAAATGCATTTCCTACAACTCGTTGCTGGTGTGGCTGTCACTGTTGCCAAACAACATCTTGTCATGAACTGTGAATACCGTCCATGGGTTTACATGAATGTGCACACTCGGCGATGTCCTCCATAAGACTTAGGAGGCTTTGGCAGCCCAAAGAAGAACGGCACAAGCTATGAACCTAGTCCAGCCAGTGCCCAAGCTAACTGCCCGCGGGAAGTACTCATGGGATCTCCTAAACAAACCTCTTGGATTGAGGGGTTCGGGAGCTGGTGCAAGTCGAAGCCGGGCCCAGACACTAAATGAGTAGACATGGATGGCAAAGCCTCTTCATATGGGCTAGTTTGATTTATCTCAGAGTCTACACTGGCCAACCAAAAATACCGATCCCAACCAGCTGACCGCTGATTTCTCCACCTCGAAGATCCGCGTGAGCGTCTCCAAGTCGATCAACTCCTAAAGCGCGTTCGTCACCGGTCACCCGTCAGGCCGCACCGCGGGTCGTCTGGACTGGCCGGGGCGGAGCGGGAGTGCCGCGGACCGCGCCGAAGCTTCGGTTTTTGTGAACGAGGTTGGAGGCCATCGCTATTAGGTTGGAGGCCATCACGTGGTAACAAGAGTTGTGCTATGCGTTTTCCTCTGCAGCCCGGCACCTTCAGCTCTTCGGGTTGCGTCGCGCCCGGAGCGGCCCGAGCGGCCCCCCGCAATAGCGACGCCTCGGTGCCATTCCCGTCCAGACGGATGTCGGCCTGGACACCTCGCGGACGTGGAGAGCGTCCACGGCGCGAAGGGCGCGGCGCGGTGGTCGAAGTCGACGTCTTCCGCTCGCTTCGAGCAATGGAAGGCCTTGAGAAATTCACAGACACTCTTCATCTAATGTAGACCCTTGATTAATCAAACCCCCCAAATGAACAGGCATTTCAATTGATCTGGGGGGGTTATTCATCAAGAGATATCAAGAGTCTTCATCCAAATATTTCGATGTCATCGTCCGGCCCTGCAATTCTAGCTAGTTGGCACGATGACGCCGACACCACGGTCTGACAAGTGAGACGCGCACACGGTGTGCGGGCCAGCTGACGGCCAGGGCCGTTCAAGTGCTGCACCAGTGGTTTACCGCAGAAAAGCATCTC